TTTTGGGCAATTACCCCCAAACTCAAAGCCAGCTTACCATTTGTGATATGGAACCTTGTAGCACAATTTCATAAAGATCCATACACTTACACACAAGTTTTTGTCCTTAAACTAGAAAAATGCTTAGTTTTGGCCCCTAATTCCTTAACTGTTAGTACCATCACCCCCAAAATCAATCCCAACCTTCATTTTGTGGTATTGAACCTTGTGGTAAAATTTCATAGAGATCCATTTACTTAAACTAAAGTTAGAGTGCGAAAACCAATGTGTCTTCGGACGACGACGACGACGACGCCAACGTCATACCAATATACGACCACAAAATTTTTTTGCGGTCGTATAAAAATGTGCTGGTAAATAGCAATGATGACAAAACAGGTACATTCAATGTCAAGAGAAGTTGTGTTGGTTACTAGAGTTATTTTCATGTCGCATGTTTGCTTGTGTTGTTCAAAAGAAAACCGATAAGTTGTGTTTTTAAAGATGCAACAAAGAACACAAATGAAAATAACTATATACAGAAAAAAAGTTTTATGAATATGCAATTACAAATATTATCGCTTATGTAAACAGTACATGTAGTTGGCTATTTGTACATGATTGGTAGTTATTTGTTTGTCTAATGTCCAGTGGCAAATGGTTCATGACTATTCAGTTCAAGTTCATTCTGACAGCACATTTCATCCATTTTTATCGAAGTTTCAACCTTAATAAAGTCTTTTTTGTATAGAAAAATTATCAACGATTGGACAATTTTACTATCGATGTTATAAACTTAAACTCGCCAATTTTCGAGTGTATCATCAATTAACAATTCGATAGCTCTCATTTTTTTTTTAAGTTTTCGATCTTTAAGTTCTTGTACAGAATACTTGAATGGATATAATAATGTTTGGAAACAATAATCCCTTTTTATGGTAAAATGACACTTTTTACAGTTTTGACTGTATCCGAGACCTAATCGCGTGAACATTATTCTTTATGATGAGAGACTGCACTGCTGATGACATTTCTTTTTTAGTAGAATGCGTACCCATATAGAACACATCTTGTATTAGTTTACCAAAACTTGAAAGGTTCTCGATTTCTTTATATGCATATGGTCATGCTACTTCTTTAATAGTAGTACCAGATAGGTGGCATGGTATTATCTGTTTCTATGATATACTCATAAGAAAGAGTAGTTCAAATACCACGTCAACAACGATTCTACGAAGGAGTGTCTGGATTGGTGAGGGGGTTCGTTCATTTCTGTATTCTATAATTTTTAGGCCATATTCTCTATTCTTTATACTTTTTGCCCATTATTCTCTTATCTTTATATTTAAGCACCTCACTATTCTCTATTCTTTATTTTTTTGGTCCATTTTTCTCTATTCTTTATATTTTTGCCCATTATTCTCTGTTCTGTAAACCCCCATCCACACCCTCATGAAGTAGATTTTCTATTACGGCAGTTATTAACCTTTGTCAGACTATTGGGGTGTCGGACCAGTTGGGTGTCGGACAAATGGGGGTGTCGGACTAATGGGATGTCAGACCAATGGGGTGTCCGCATATCGGGGCGACCCCCAAAAATAAGCTCACTAAGACAAATACCAACCATCTTTTATTTTTTCTAATATTATGAATCCAAAAAAGGAAAAAAATGTAATCATAATCGAGGGGCCATTGAGGGTGTGAATGGTTTTTTTCAGAATGGAAAATAATGGGAAAAAAAATAATAGACAAAAATTGACAAAAAAAATGTAAAAATAGAGAATAATGAACAATAGCATAAAGAATAGAGAAAATGGCCTAAACAATTTTAAAATAAAGAAATGAAGAACCACCCATCCAGACCATCATGATTTTATTCTTAGATCACGGTAATATCGATACAAATATCTTTGATTTAAACGCTGTGTACTTGTTGAATTAATACCGTGCTAAAAAAACATTTTTCTTGAAATCATCTGAAAGATAAACAGTTGGCTTCTGCTAACAATTAAATACAAATTATGATTTTTATTTCCATTTTGTTGAAAGTACACAGAAAAGCCATTGGAGTCAACTATGTTTAGTCTGCATTTTTTTAGGGGTAAAAAATAATTGGAAGTAAAAAATAAGAGTGCAGAAATGAACATTCATCAAAGAAAATTGAATAAAAGATTTTAAGATTTATAGTTTGTTCTAATGAGTACACATACCTATTTCAGACCAATTAGAACACACTTTGCAGTCCAGTGTGGATGTGCAGTCCAGTGTGAATGAGGAGATGGAGGCTGTATGGAGGAATCGCCTGGAGATTCATTTTAATGCCATCAGTGATTCCTCAGTTCCTGCTGCAGCCCCACTGACAGTTGTTAATGAGATGGTACAAAACAGGACTGACCTGAATGTTAGGTATACTCTAAACTCTAAGTACACAGACATTTGAAATTACAAGGATATAAATGTCTTCTCCGCTTTTAAAGTAAACTACATCTACATCACCTTGCGATAATATATAGTGGCATTTATGGTTTTGTTTTTGTTTTGCTTTTTTTTAAATTTATTTGCCTTTTTTACATTATTTTATTAGTACCAGCGTTAATATATAGCATAAAATGCTTGAAGAATAATATGTGTATATGTTACAGTGAATTTGTATAATTAGGGATTATGTAGAATCCCTGACTTTTCAGGGATTATGTAGAATCACTAAACTCATTAGTGATTATATATAATCCCTGAAAATGACGAGTGATTTTACATAATCACTGAACATTTTAATAATTATTCTACAAATTCCCTAATATAATTTCAGGGATTATCAATATTGATTAGAAAAATTAAATATAGACAATTTATCATTTTTTTCCCTTATTCCTTGAAATTTTAGTTGAATCGTTTTCATTTCTGATCTACTACTACTAGGTAAATCTTAAGTAAAAAGTTTTTTCCATTTATATTTTATTCAACTGTTGAACCACATTATTTCACAAACAATAAGTATGGCACAGGCATAGATGTTGCTTGGGTTGGAGCAAACGTATGCTCAAAAGTTACTGCAAATTGCAAAATCAAGGAAGTGTCAAACGTGTAAATGCTGATATTAAAGATATGACAATTACATGGATGCGGAATAATGGTTGGCATGCAGGAATTAAATTTGTTCAATTAAAAAAAATCCAAGCAACCACTCTGGCATTAAACGGACACCTATAGACAATGTTTGGAGTAGAGGCAAAGGTTGGCTTAACATCATCCTCCTTGCCAGATGAAATAATTTTTAAACACAGAGGATGATCTTAAAGATATAACCAGAAAAGAAAAAAAGATGTGGTAAAATAGATGTGAACCAAATAGATGTGCCTGTAGAAAAGTAGGACAAATAGTAAATAGTCGTTGCCATCCAAATTTAGTTTGTAAAAATGAATGATTGTTTTTGAAATATTGTGCTTTACATTTTAAAATATTATGTCACATTTTAATGTACTGTACCTAATATTTTAATTTATCTTACCTTCTATAGATTTATGGGGATATGATTGGTTAATCGACTACACATGGTGATCATATATATTTCATATAGGGTGTCCTAAAAAATACATGGTTAGTTACCATATACGGTTAGCAAACATATGGGGTTAGTAAGGGGTTACTTCCCTTTTAAAAGAAAAATGACATCTGAAAGGTTTAAACAGACGAAGAAACTGGTAATAAACGATTGAAATACATTCATAAAACAAATCTAAAGCTAACACGTTGTTATTGTTGGCATTTGTTTTTTGTATAGACAAATGGAAGTAGGTTCTTAAATATGTTAATTTTAAGTATTGAAGTCTTTGAAATCACTTTAATAGGCCGCTAGTCTTAATACCACATGGGAAGATAGTCGGTAAGATAAATTAGTTACATGGTGTGCTAGTGACCTAATACGATATATATGGGGTCAGTAAATTCCATATGGGGATTTGAGCTTCGCTCTCACCCCATATGGAATTTACTGACCCCATATATAACGTATTAGGTCACTTACACACCATGTAACTAATAATATTGTGCTGATCATTTTAATATATTTTGCCTAACATTTTAATGTATTTTGCTTAACATTTTGATATATTTTGCCTAACATTTTACTATGTTGAGGTTATCATTTTAATATTTTGTGCTTAACATTTAACAATTTCTGTATATAATGATGTTTTAATATGGTTTTATAAAATAAATTATTTAACTTTTATTCATTTTCTTTATATATAAAACTAATTTTTCATTTCAGTTATTATGTATAATCCCTGACGTTTTTTCTAGTGATTATACATAATCCCTGAAAATTTTAGTGAGTATATATAATCCCTAAACTAACCAGTGATTCTACATAATCCCTGAAAATTTTAGGGATTCTACATAATCACTGATTATACAAATTCACTGTAACATATATACTAAAAATATTCAGTCTCCCAAAAAATGTAAGTTAAACTGACCTCATTGTTGATACTATAGATCTTCTATTTATGAAGAATTGTTGTTATATCTCGTCCAATCGTACATAAGAACATATTCACAACAACCACACGTCGCTTAAGCATAAAATGATAATTGAAGTGGTCCAAGACATAAAGCATCAATCGTTTCACTTTTTAAATGATTTTCGTAAAACATAAATTGTTTCTGAAAAGAATTGAAAATAGTGGGGATGGGGAGGGGTTTAACATTCACTAAAAAATAAATAAAATAAAGTTGATGTCTAATTAGTAAGTGATAGTAATATTCCCAGGTTAAGTTTCGTTTCATTGCAAAACTATAAGTAAACCTTAATACAAGAACATAAACAAGTTTATGAAGCCTGAACAGACATGGATAAATAGATGTACCTGATACACTTTTATTATGTTTTTATATGCTATCCTCTTGTACACGTTGAAGTGTAATAATTAAATCAATGAAGTTCTATGCATATATACAAAAATTGGTCAAGTGGAATTCATGACATCTATTTTATGTTTTATCTCCTTGTTTTCTAGATCCGATGAACAGGAACCACCACAAAAAAAAAACCGAAGAAAAAGACAGCTGATGATGTCTACAGTCTGCAGTGTCAAGTTTTGGAGAGAAAATTAATTAAAACAAACCTCCAAATTCAGTTGTATGAAAGACTACACAGCAAGCTTGATGACAATCTTACTGCTGGGTTGCTGTCTTTCATGGAGCAGTAGAATATAAAGATTCTATTTCTAATGTTAACCTGTTGTTTTTTTGTTTTGTTTATCTTAAATATATATATATATTTATATAATGACTCTTTGTCTGGTTTATTTTTTATTTTCCACTGGCAAAAACCATTTCATAAACAGGAGTGCCCACACTGATATGTTCAACTGCTTTCTGAGGCTGATCACAATTCAATTTATGCAGAAAGTCTTTAAGATAAAATTATAACTACAAATATCACAAAAACTTTATAAATGACTATACGGTATATGTTTTATTCTTATGTGAGGTCAGGTGAACCATGTATTGGTGGCCTTCGGCTGTTGTCTGCTCTATTGTCGGGTTGTTGTCTCTTTGACACATTCCCCATTTCCATTCTCAATTTTACTTATTGATATGAAACCTAGCAATAATTCAATAGACCAAAAACTGTCTAACCTATAAATAATGATTGAGAAATTCACATGACAGCAAAAAACTTCGTAACATAAAGTATCTGTATACAATTTATGAAGGAAGCAGAACTTCTACCTCTTGAAAAATAAAGAGAGACAAAATTACAGAAACCAATTGTTCAGAGAACAATTGAAGGTCTTTCCACATCAAAGAAATTTTGAAAAGAAGATAGTTAATTTATTTTGATGCGATACATAAGTGGTTTCGATATACTTTTGAGTCATATAAGGGAGATAATTTGCTTCTTTCAGTGAATTAAATGTCACTTCAGGTCTCATATGATAGCTTTTTTTCACACTGATTCCAAAAATATATAGTTTGTATATACTTTTGCCTGTAAACCAGGAGATAATTGGCCACTTCCTGTTTATCGAAAGTCACTTCTAGTCTTTAGTGATAAGTTAATGTATCTACAATACAAAATATATGGATTCCTTTGAACCAAAATTTAGAAGTTACCACATGTTCAAATGACAAATTATTAGAAATATATTGTCAATATCTTGTACGGTTTATGAAAAGAAGTGAGAATAAGCCAAAATCAAAATTTAGAATTTGACCTTGACCCATTTTTCTTTTTTTTTGGACCAAGGACCTCAAATCCAAAGACCCTAGGTCTCTAACACTTTTGGTTTTTCATTTACCATTGCAAATTACTTATATCAAATGCATAAGGGGAAATAACTCTGATATGAAGTCTCCAGATAACTTCGGTTCAAATGATACCCTTAATCCTGAAGACATAACGAGCAATTTGGTAAAATAAATTTGTCGTAATCTTTTACGGTTGCGAAGAAGTAGCAAACACAAGATAAATAGTGTTCGGGGAGATAACTCTTACAAAGAAAAGTATTCGGTTAAGCAGGGTCAGTTTTGAAAGCGCATAAACTGTTCGATATAATATACCAAATATCAAATCGACATCTTGCGAAACAACCAAACAGCGAAAGAAAAAAAAATTAGGGGGAAGAAAAAAAAAATAATCAGAACAAAATCAATAGGTCTTTCCATGGAAAAGTGGAAAGACCTAATAATAATCAGAACAAAAACAATAGGTCTTTCCACAGAAAAGTGGAAAGACCTAATAATCAGAACAAATACAATAGGTCTTTCCACAGAAAAGTGGAAAGACCAAATAATAACCAGAACAAATACAATAGGTCTTTCCACAAAAAAGTGGAAAGACCTAATAAAGTGGAAAGGTAATTAAGAATTTAATGTGCGAATGTAATGTGTGAAGTACATCTGAGTGATGTGATCCCTCATTCTTCTTCCATCATTGGCTCCATTTGTACACTGCATCTATATTAGGCATCTCCTCTTCTTGATCTTCTGGCAGTTCAGGCTCATTCATCCACAAAGCTATATTGTGCAGAATGGCACAAGCCATGATAATGCTACATACCCTTTCAGGTTTCATACGAATCTATAAAAGTAAAAAAAATATTAAAATTTAAAATGAACTTATGACATTAGCAGCCTTATTAATTTGACACTCTTCCCAAATCTTTATTAAGCCTTTTGTTCAGTGGTTGTCGAGTGTTCATGTTGTTCTTAGGTTTTTCCTTTTTTTCTATAGATTAAACTTGGTTTCCTTTTTGAACTGATTTACACTAGTCATTTTGGGCCCTTAACAGCTTGCTGTTCAGTGTTATACAAGGCTCCGTGTTGAATGACGTATAATTGACCTATAATTCTTAACTTTTTATACAGTGGCGGATCAAAAATTTTAATAAGTGGGGCCCACTGACTGCCTAAGAGGGGGCCCGCTCCGGTCATGCTTCAGTGATTTGCTATATAATCAACCATTTTTTTCCAGAAAAGGGGAGGCCTGGGCCCGCTAGCCCCCCTTCCCCCCCTCTAACTCCACCTCTGTTATACATTGTGACTTGGTTGCAGAGTTGTCTCATTGGCACTCATATCACATCTTCTTATTTATATGGTCTTATATACATGCATTTTTTTAAATTTTAGTTTTTAGTTTTTTGACACTATATAATGAATCAAATTATTTTTTCTTCAAAATTTAACACGTTAAGTCATGGAGGGAATCTGCTTTTAAAATATAAAAAAATTGTCATTTGCTTGAACAGAATTATTTTATGAAAAAAAAACATTACCCCAATCGTAGTTAAATGGTTGTTCCCTAACTTGATTATTTTTTTTTTAATTTAATTTAATACCTCTGAATGAAGTACATGAAAACGCCTTTTCCATCTCCCAAAGGTCCTTTCTATTACACATCTTGTTGTAGCATGATGCCTGTTAAACCTTGTCTGGTCTTCATTTGCAGGACGGGCATAAGGCGTCATGATGAATGGGCGGCATGGATATCCACTATCCCCAAGTAAGATGCCACTTTCCCAGTTAGGTGTCTTTTCCATGTGTGTACATACCTAAACAATGAAACTGGTATATGTAAAACAAAATCATGTTTCAACTGGACAAATTGTCATGTAAATTAAGGGATGATAAAAATGAAAATATTTAAAGAAGAGTTCCAATATAAAAAAAGAAGATGTGGTATGAATGCCAATGAGACAACTCTCCACAAGAGACCAAAATGACACAGAAATTAACAACTAAAGGTCACCGTACGGACTTCAACAGTGAGCAAAACCCATATGCAATGTCCGCTGCATTGCATATATGTTATCTATTTAAGATACAAGGGCAATAACTAAATAAAACAATTTAAAACAATTTATATATCTCTTAAATTAGAGAAATTAAGGCTTCAGATAATGAAATGTCATTACCAATATGATTGATTGTTCTAAAAGGCATAACTCTTTTAAAAATTAATTGCTCAGTGCTGTTTTTGAAACTCATCAAAAGCATTGATTATAAAACTTACAATATAAACTTCATAAAAATCTGGCAAGATTTGTACACATAATTAAGGGGTCCTTATGGGGCAATTTTCCATATTTAATCATTATTTCCAAGAGGCATAACTATATTAAAAATAATTCATCAGCGGTGATTTTTTAACTCGTTCAAGACACATAAAAATATTTTTTGTCAAGATTATGCATAAATTTGTCAATGAAAACATTTTTTTATTCTAAAATTCCCAGCCTTTATTTTATTTTTTTCTACAGCACTTCTTGGCCATTTAATAAACTCGTTCTGCCTCCTACACAATGCAGTTGTGGTGTCCTTTACAACCCTTGACACTGTGCCTTTGTCCAACCCTTTAAAAAGATTTTTTTTTATTAAAACCATGATGACATAAGAAGAAATTGGCAACATAGATATTGAGGGTAAATTCGGTAATATATTAACATTAAAAACAAATAAATGAATGAATACAAATATAATAATAAAATCAATTAAATTCTTACCAAGTGTGTCTCCAACAACTTGTAGGAAACTTCCACTGGCCAAAAATCTTAGTGTAACCATGACTTGCTGTTCCACAGTGAATGCATGGTTTCTGTGTGTCCCTCTCTGTAAGTCATCCCTAACAAGGTCTGAGAGCACCAACATACTACGTCTGCTGAATCGATATCGTGTCCTTAACTCCTCATCAGTGAAATCCAAAGATAAGCCATCCCTGTTGCGAAAATGTCGCGGTCTTCTTTGTTGAGGAACATTGTATAATGCTAAGCCAGCCATGTTTAACGCAGTCGTTAGTATTTAATCATGGGTAAAAATATGATTAAAGTTAGCGAGAGTTTAACACAAAAGTTAGCGATAATATTTTTGAACAACACTTAACATTATCGTTAAATTATAACGACACGTTTACGACAGTTTAACGCAGTCGTTAGCCTAACGACACTTTTGAACAACTGGGCCCTGGTGTAGCTCCAAGAAAACTAAAACTTGGATTTGAAACTAATCCACAAGCATGTAAATGGCTGTTACCACATTTGCCAGCATACTTTTCCTTTGCCTTAATCTCGTTAGCTATTCCATAGGAAGTTGATGCTAATGTAAACTGTTTTTTATTGGAAATAGAATTCAAAAATGTTTCCTTTATATCCCTTTTTCTTTTTGCCACTTTTGAAAAAATGGAGGCTGTGATTCTCTCTTTTTTTTGGGGCTATCCATTCCTCCAAATCAAACTGTCGTACAGTTTTTCTTTCCAACTCAATCGCTTCGTTGGCTGTTATTGGTATGAAGTCATTACAGCACTTATAGTTTTGATCAATTTGAAAATCACTAGCAATTAGAAATGCTGTGTTTCCACGTAGTTTAATTGGTGAAGTTTGAATCTGGCCATAATGTTGTAGATAAAAAGATAAAAATAAACAGTATAACATGGATGTCAATTAAATGAGATAATATCTAATATTTTTTTTCACAGTTTATTCAAGTTTAGACATCTTGTCCTTTCAATCATCAATACGGAACTTGGAGGAAGAAAAAAGTGGACTAATAACAGAAAATGTACAACTGAAAACTAAGATTGCTTCATATATTGAACAGGATTACAGAAGAAAGAGTTTTAAAACTCCACCTAAAAAGAAAAGTGTGAATGACAAGCTTTTTCAGTGGATAGTGTTTTAACTTCTAAGGTCAAAAATATATTTGAATACTATACAGGTCTGTCTTATGTAAGATTCATAATGCTTGCTAATTTCTTATTTCCAAATGACAAGCCAAACCCCGGTTCATATAAGGAAAAATGAAAGGAGGTTAGAGAGATGAACCTGAAGGAACAGCTATTTTTAGTTCTATGCCGTTTGCGTAATGGTTTGTGCATCTTAAGGATTTGGCATATAGGTTCAACCAAGAAATCAAATATCCACGAAAATGTTAGTTTTCCTCAATCCTAGAAAATTGATATTCACGAAAAAAAATGAATCCACAGTATCCATTATCTGTACCTTAAATTGGGATTTTTAACATACTGGCCACATAGAGATGAAATAATAAAAAAATATGACAAAGCAGTACAGAGATGATTTTCCAACTTGTCTTGCAATTATAGACTGCACTGAAATCAGAACAGAGAAACCAAAATAATTAAAATCCCAAAGTCAGTGTTATGCAGATTACAAGTCATCCACAACTTTGAAGTCGCTGGTTGTAACTGATCCAAGGGGCTTCTGTGATTTTTGTGTCAGACTTATTTTCAGGTTCCATATCTGCATTTTATACTGCAAGTGGATTTTACAAACTATTGCAACAACTCAAGGACATAGGATACATACAAGACAATGACAGTATAATGGCAGATTAAGGTTTTAGAATAAAAAAAGACCTTCATGAATTAAAAATGAAACTAAACATCCCACCATTTGCGTCTTTCGCAACTCAGATGTCGGCAGGATATGTGACCGTTAACTCGTAAAAAAGCTTCACGCAGAAAGCATATTGAACGCCCAATAAATTAAATAAAAACTTTAAACTAATAAGCAGAAGAATTCCAGGATTTTTATTTCACAGTATAAATGAAATATGGACAGTTTGTAGTCTTCTCACAAATTTTCAGGATATTCTTGTTAAATAAACCTATTGATTATGTTTAATTATGTGTATATGTCGTATACAAGTTGCGATTTTATACATGTTATAACATGTACAGAAATAATGTACATGTTATAACTTGTTCAATGCAAAAATACAAGTTATAGCATGTACAAAAGTACTCGTACATGTTATAACATGTACAAAATATTTCTTAAAATGGTTTTAACTTGTACAAAATTTGAAAATAAAATGGAATGCTGTATTTAAAAAAAAACAATAAAGCAGAATATACATTTCAAATTTATAGAATAATAAATAACAATAATCAAAAACTCAGAACGTATTGCTTGACGGCTTATTTTGGCATAATGCGTTTTCATGTCATTGTATGTTTTAAGCAGTCAACCATGGCCAACAGCAGTTTGACTCTGTTTGATAATAGCATACATTTTCTCAATGGCAACAAAGTATATAACTGTTTCATCTAAAGTTTCTAATAGCAATGCCTTCAAATTTTGAATTATACCCCTCCCCCTTTTTTTTAACATGCAAATAATAAAGCAAGGTCTTCTATGCATACTCTATCAAAGCCAGAGAGAGAAAATGGTTTTTATTGGGCCACGTTTAACTACATGTATGTCTTAAAAGGTATTAAGTAATTATGAAAACTATTCATCTGGTCATTAACTGTATCAGAAAGGACAAAACACACTAACATGAAATAACATTAATAAATAACTTTGGAATTGTTGAATCTGCTCTTCAATATTTTTATCCTTGGGCATAACTGATGTCAATCTTATGCATCAAATTATTATGTTGTTATAATAAAAAATATCATTGCATGAGTCGAATGTAATTTTGATGTTTTAAATTTCAATCCTATCCTTTGAAAACAGGGTATTGTTTACAGAGGATTTTTTATAAAAACTATTTATCGGGTCATTAACTGTATCAAAAAGGACAAAACACACTAACATGAATGAACAATTAAAAAATGATGAAAATATTATTGAGAATAATGACATGTGTTGTAATAATAAAAACATATCCTAATTTAAAAATTTTGTACAAGTTAAAACCATTTTTATGCAATATTTTGTATATGTTATAACATGTACAATATTTCTATACATGTTATAACATGTACAAAATCGCAACTTGTACACGACATATATATTCTTTGAATCACTGATACATTGCTTACATGGAAAAATAAAGATGATCCTGTTTGAACCTGGCCAAGTTTAGTTGGTACTGTAGGACTATTTTCTTGAAGTAAATATGATAATGGAATATTTTTGTCCTCTTTCAGTGTCAGGATTTCAGTAGGCGTTGCAACTGGGATACTTTCTTCATGTATTTGCGTGAAGATTGGTTTTCTCTTCCTTTCGGCTGGTAGTTTTGCTGGGTCTGCAAGTGTCATTGAGACAACAGGCTGAGGTTTGATTTTTTTTCCCTCTTGGTTTATGCCATTGCTGTGGTAAACTTGTAGACGACAGTTCAGCTGGAACCTCTTTTGAATTTAAATTCTGGTAATGTGCAATTGTATGCACTAGTCTTACAACATGTGAGCATGTTCCTGAAAAAAAATATTTTGTTGTAATATATATCATGCATTTGTGCAGAACATAGAATATAAATATCTTTTTTTATCTTTTTGCTCAAATTATAACACTGAGTTTTGATATCATAAGTTGATAAACTGATAAAAATTAAGTGCACAGCATGCTGTGTAATACTATTATTTATGACTAAAACATGGACACATGTAATCATAGTTCATGTTGAAGTCTTGCTGTGTTTGTTTACATATACTACCAGTTCTTATCATTGTTACACTAATTAAACATCCCAATAACCAGTTAATACAAAATATTAATAGATAAATACACATATTTATATAAGAGATTGATATTACTTACCCAGCTACACATGCACATTTGCTATCAGAGATGGATTTCTCATCTTTCCTCACAGTAATGTTTACTTTATGTGGATGTTCATTTTTCCTCATAGATCTATAACATTTTGCTGCAATATCAACTACTTAGTCATTAACTTCACACGAATTTACACTAAGAATATATCCAAGGGTGAAATAATTATATCCTTGTTCTTTGGATCTTCCACTTCAAGGTTTATCTTTAAAATATCCAATGTTGGTAAAACATCTAACTTTGTAGTTACCGCCATCTTGTTGATTAGCTTGACCTAGGATGCTGGGTTGCTATGTGTTGTTAACGGAGGCGGGGCATAGCATGGAATAATGGAAAAGTGTATTGTGAAACTATATACTCTAGGGGCGGCGCAATCAGATGTGGATACTTAAACATTCGAAAGATCTGTAAGAGTACATTCAATCTAAGTATCTTTCCTCTTGCAATAGTATTTAAACAGTTGACCTTTCTACCATTTACACAAGTATTCCCGATTCCAAACTAAAAGACAAATTAAACGAATTGGTCCTTACTTGTTTCATTAAGATAATGGCCAAAATAGATACAGGTATATTGTCTTAGTCAGAGAAAAATCGTACTTTGTAAAAGGATAGCCTTGATTCAAACAAAAAATTCTTTGAAACTGATATTCTCAAGATGCTTGATTTCTTGATTGACAACATATTTGTTACGTTTGGAGGACTTTTTTTTAAACAAACCATCGGCATTCACATAGGAATCAACTGTGCTTCTCTTCTTGTCGACTTGCTTCTTTATTCATATGAGGCTGACTTTATGCAGGAGCTTCTTAAGGCGAAGGAAAAGAAGCTAGCATTGTCTTTTAACTGCACGTTCCGCTATAAAGATTATATTCTTTCACTAAATAATTCAAAGTTGGTTGACTATGTTGAACGCATCCATCCCATCGAACTTGAAGTAAAGGATACATTATATACAGATCAGTCTATCTCATATCTTGACTTACATTCAGAAATTGATAATGATGGTCGGTTGAGAACAAAACTTTACGCCAAAAGAGAGGATTTCAGCTTCCCAATTGTTAACTTTCATTTCTATGAAGCAACATTCCGGCAGCACCTGCATATGGAGTATATATCTCCCAGTTGATACAATATTCCAGAGCTTGCATTTCCTATCATGGTTTTCTTGAAAGAGGGTTGTTGCTTATAAGGAAGCACGCTATTGAACCACGAGTTCAAAGTGGTAAAGTTGAAATCATCTTTTCGAAAATTCTACGCACGCCATCACGAGTTGGTTGACTGTTATGGAATATCTGTTTCACAGATAACGATGGATATGTTGCAACTGTTGTAAGAACAATCCTGTCCTTTTTTCCTCGAATGCGACCTACCGAATTAGACTTATCACCGGGTTTAAAGTTACATGAGCAACACGACGGGTGCCACATGTGGAGCAGGATCTGCTTACCCTGCCGGAGAACCTGAGACCCCCCCCCCGGTTTTTGGTGGGGTTCGTGTTGCTCAGTCTTTATTTTTCAATGTTGTTTGCTGTGTACTGTTGGTTGTCTTTTCGTTATTTTTCGTTTTTTGCCATGGCATTGTCAGTTACTTTATGACTTATATGTTTGAAATTTCCCTTTGGCATCTTTCGCCTCTCTTCATTCAATTAGAAAATGGATACCAACATTACCTTTGGGAAACATAGGATCCAAAATTTTGCCACTTAACTGATTATGACTTTTTATGTGTTTTGACGTAATTTGATAATTGTCTGCCTTTAAGCACCAGCGACAAATGTCACATACATATCTTATGTTAAATAATTGATCTTGATGAAAGATATAAACATGTAGAAACAGATTTTGGAATACTGTGACGTCTCCAGAAATATAGGAAAACGACAATGCGAATTCGTTAACTACATCGAATACTCATATGACTTATTTTGGGATTGTATATGTGCCAAAAAACACCAAACATTTTTTTTTTAATACAAAAATTATAATCTCACTATAAATCAGGAAATGAGTGATTCCCACATATCTTCGTGCACGTTAAATCGGTATTTGGAGAACGACAAGGTAATAAATTATACAGTTTTACCCGTGAACTGCTGACTTTTTCAGTATCCTGTATGATTCTAATATCTCAATAGATTTGGTTTATCGTTGTATATCGTTTTCAAAAATAAATGTTCGACTATAAATGTTAAAAACGTGGCAAACCTTATTTTGCTTCACAAAATATACGTACAAACAACGGTACAGTTCCGGCTCATCTGCATGTTCTACAAAGGAATTGTCCATTAGATTGACAAAAATTCTGTTTGCAGTGATAGAATGTACATATAACTGTGGTCTTTTATCTTTTCATTCTATCAATACATCAAAAACAAAAATAAACATCTAATTGATTATTTAGAAATATTGACTGACAAAAACAACCCATTTGAGAACAATATCAGTAACATTTTAAAGTAGCAGTACCCTTATATTTGACAAACTCTTGATTTTTTATGTGTTCCGTCCAATTTTACCAGAAACACGAAAATACTTCCTAAATGATTAGACTTTAAAAATGTTTTATGTCTTCAATATATGAACAATATATCTTGAGACTTAGTTTGTTTCTAAAGACATGCAATATCGATAAATCATACATGGATATGTATTATGTTGATTTGTAGATTTTTTAAATGGTTAAAAAGGAAGCTAGCGTGCATATGTATATGTTTTTTTTCGGTTTCTCATTCAGAGTCAAGATCTGTATTTTCAGACAAATGAATAAGTTTCACTCGTGATCCTCTTCTATAAGACAGGAACTTGATATCATTGTACATACAACTGTCGTCTTTTATCTTCAATTTCTATCATCACATTGAACAAATTTTGACATATACCATGAATATTTTTCAGTTTTATTTTATGCATTCTGTAAATGTTTGCTGTTGAATGTTCATTATTATGCATTCTTCTATGTATTTCACTAAATATCCTCTATCCGGTGTTTTTGTACAAGAAAAGTGGCAAATCTATTTTGTCATATTTGGAGACAGATGACATGAATTAAGTCATTCTGAAATACTAAAATTCCTTCCAAACTGCTCAGGTTTATATGATACTGTTCATGTCTTATTATGTATGCATTCATGTGCATGCTTGATTTTGAAAATGTCATGGACTATGTCCATGTTACATGACATACAATAAATGCTCAAGATATAGAGTCGAATTGTAATTATATTTTGAATCGGGAAAATTTGTATCGGTGGTTATTGAATTCAAGAATCGACTAAAAAATATTAGCTCTTGAATGAGTTCAAACAATTTAAGTCATAATCAAAATGGCGTCAACAAAAAAGTAATGTTTCCAAAAATGAATGCATACGACAATGCTAACATTGAAACCTCAATGGCTTGAAAATTGGAATAACGTGGTTACTCTCATTCTCATTGGAATATGGAAATACAATGCATTGTGAACGGAGACCTATGCAAACAAATCCATTTACACTGTTGACATAACTATATTTTTAAGTATACTCTTAGATATAGAATTATAAAAAAAATATCAATAAGAATGCGCGAACAATATTGTTGCGTTCTTAAAAAATTCCAAGAAGTTATTATTTTTAGTATTCATATTTTATGACAACAGTAATATCGAGTAGATTAAAATTACAAAGTAACATAATTCATAGCATTTCCATCACCAAAATAAACTTTGTCACTGTACGCTGATTTTCCGCTTTTTGGAGGAAACACTGAATCAATCTGTCCTTACAACTCGCTTGAAATTGTACAAGAAAAAATCTGTATCTTAATCTATATTATGAAATCCTACTTACACAAATATGCTTATTTTATGATTTATCACATTTACATCTTAATCGCGATATGGAAATGACCCAAATTTGTATATTCATCCCTTTGCTCAACGTACTGAGGTAGATATCAGGCCGACGAAAGGACACAATGATGTAAAATGACGTCGTCTAAAACCAAAATAATTTGACGGAATGATAACGCTTAGAATCAAATCATAAACCTCCTGATTCTATTTAGGATACATTGATAAATCAACTTTAAGTAGCATCCAACGGAACTCATTTTCTGTGAAAAAAAGTATTTAAAAAAGATTTCTAGTATAACAGTAGTCCCTTTGTAGCTTGATTTATAATGATCCCTCTTCGAAATATTGACTGACAATATAAAAAAACACATTTGAGTACAATATGAGTAACATTAAAAGGTAGCTGTACACTAAAGCAAAAGTAAAACCGCGCGGGAATAAAATGTTTTTGGCTTGTCTTCTTATAATTACTAATGTCTATTTCTTTTTGGGTTAATTATTTCTTGTCTTAACATCATGCAGCCGTTCTTCAACATTATACACCGAGCTAAGGGTCAAATTATTCATCAAGGAAACTTTTTTGTGCTCACCTCAGGTTTGAGTATAAATGTGAGGAGATACCTGCAGCACTCACGTGTGTCCATTGGGTAAATTAGTCTGAGACACGTCAAAAACTTTTAAAACAGATACACTTAGAAAAAACGAAGTCCAAGAATCAACGATTAACCAGCTTGTATCTACGATATTTACCAAACGTAGTGGTAGTTGGCGATTTCTTGGATATAAGACACTATAAAAAGGAATTAAATGAGAGGCAAAAGATACCAAAAGGACATTCAAACTCATAAGTCGAAAATAAACTGACAACGCCATGACTAAAAAAATAGTCCCAACATAGAAAACTAAAGACTGAGCAACACGAACCACATAAAAAAATGGGGGTCATTTAGTAATCAATACATAAAACATTTGATGCATACTTTGAAGTGACAAAAAATACTTTCTCTCTATTTTTGAAGATTTAATTCAAAGAAACTGCAGACGAATTGTTTTCATTCGTGTTTTTCAATATGTGAAGGAATACTGATCCTTTGAAAATACTAATTCAATCTAGAGGTCACGATGGGTCAATCGGAATATTATATTTCAGAATATACAGACGATACCTCTATCATACTTAATGCATCACTTCAGGCTAGTTTTTTTGTTCATCTCTCCATACTTTACTTACAAATGTTGGATTTTAATATCTTTATTTAAATTTAGAGAAGACCAACGTTGTTTGATGTGAAAAGAAAATTTGAATTAGTATCCGTATTTTGTGATGGATTGGAATTAAATCTAACAAAAATAGATACGTAAAATAGTTTCACGACTCTGAAAAATGAAAGTAATTAAAACACAAAATAACATCTTTTCTTCCCATTAGTACCTAGTTCAAATAATAAAATGCTTAACTGATTTCCTTTCGTTTGTATGCGGAAATACAACTATGACTTATAGTTTTATCAAAACTACACTTAACAGTAGGCCTGATGATTATGATGACAGTTAAATGAAAAGATTTAAACTTATATAAATAAGAAGGATACGCATAAATAATTTAAAAATTTTTAAGGAAAGAAAAGAACAAAATTTGTTTTTTTTTAACTTTTTCTAGGCCCTAACTCAAACTTGAAAACGTCATTTTAACAATGCAATTAACATAAAACATCGATTTTATGTTTAACAGTTTATGGGTTGATTTAAATGTATTTAATAAAGTGTTGGTGTTTTATCAATTGTTGTTTTTCTTTCAACAGTCTACTCTTGTTTCTCTTAAAAGTGTTATAGTAAACATACGATGCATTAGAAATATGTTCCTATGAGAAACAAAAACTGTTTCGTGGACAGATAAGCAATATTTGAAATCTTTAAGAAAATAAATACTTATCAAATTTCAATATATTGAAGCAGTGCTTTTCTTGTTCTGACTGTTTGTTGTATTGTTGTTAGTGCTTCCCATTGTCAACTGACGTGGTAAAGGGGCATGTTTTTTTAAAAAAAACCTCTCATGAACCTCCGCTATAAGTTCACGTGTCTGTAATAAGCTTCTTTGTTTATATTGTGGAGAATGGTGATGAAGACAGATCTTTCGTAGTATTGTTTAATTTATTCCCATTTTTTGAAGACTAAACCAGGTTCAATATTTAATAAATTAAAAAGAAACATTATATAAGAGATGTGATTATTTGATAATCTTGATTTGCTGTTGATTTTAAGTTTACTTTACATCTCATGGTACGTGCTATGGTCTTTTGATATTGACCAGAAGCAAATTTTAAACTTTGATTAACGTTGTTATAATTTTACATAATGGCATTTCTACTATTTTGTAAAAACATGAACCCGTTGTTTTCCTTTCCCTAAGTAATGTTGATTCCAATTCGTAGTAAGGTAAGGATATCGTTTTCTACCATAACATCTGTGTGCGTTAAAAGCTATAAAATCATGATTAATATCGTAAAGTACACCAAGTACAAGAGACCCGTTGCTTTTCGTGACACACCATGCTCTAGCAACTACAATTAAATCACCCCAGGGGTTTAAAACATCACCATACCTTCCCAAACCAGAATGTTCAATCGAACTAAATGATACTACGACATCAAATAATCCAAGAGTGTTATCCAAGTACTGGCGTCTGTATTCCGACGGAACGATTGTTGTAATGTTATCATGTTCAGAATGAATTTTGCCATATTCAAGTGTTACAATGTTGTATGCACCTGCCTCTAGTAAACAAGCTTCAACCCACGGTCTTTCTGAACCAATGACTAGAATACGACCGTTTTTAACACCTGGTGCATGACGTAGTCCATCTCTTAATGCATTTGTTTCAGATATTCCATACGCACCGAATAGTTTTCCTTGTCTTGCTTGTAATAAATACTTGTTAATCAATGATTTTGTCCAGACAGGTGTTCTTGCATCATTTCCGAGATATGGCTGATTGAAATAGGATTTGTGAACTCTTATCTTACCTCCCATTGTAAAATCTTCCTGAAAAACAGAAGGTATATTTCTTGGAGCTTGATGAAATCCATGAGTAGAATCAACATATGCATTGCTGAATAATGCTTTGCAATTTATATTTGCTGTTATTCTATCAAAAAATATGCCTGGATGGCCAACACGCGATGTATTGCAGAGGTCGCCACAAATATTTCGAACATTGTTGATTTCATCGATATATGTACGTTTTGAAAACTTCAGGTTTTCATTATTTCCCACCCATTTCCTTTTTGTCATGCTTATCATGGTGCAAAACAAAATTATCAAAATTAAAAGCGGAACAAACTTTTTATAATCTAATTTTTTAAACATGGTAAAGTCTTCAATTGATGATACTCATCAGCTAAACTTCTGAAAGAATAATGATAGAATAGATTAATTACTATAGATGACATTAATTTAACAATAAGAACTGTATGTTATATATTTGCCACAATAAAGCAAGGTTACTTGTTTGACAAAACTTTTTTGTACATTCTATCCTTACAAATAAGTTTAAGGTACTGCAGAACACACATATATATTTGCACATAGGCATGTTTATTCAATTTAACTTCCTATTTCTGTTTGTTTATATTACATTATGTATTACATGTACCTATATGACATTATATATTATCTATATGACATTATATATTATCTATATGACATTATATATTATCTATATGACATTATTTTTTTTTTATCTATATGACATTATTTATTATCTATATGACACTATATGACATTATTTATTATCTATATGACATTATCTATTTGACATTATTTGTTATATATATGACATTATCTATTATCTATATGACATTATATATTATCTATATGACATTATTTTTTTTTTATCTATATGACATTATTTATTATCTATATGACATTATCTATTTGACATTATTTGTTATATATATGACATTATCTATTATCTATATCACATTATTTATTATCTATATGACATTATTTATTATCTATATGACATCATTTACATTATGTATTATCTATATGTCATTATTTACATTATTTATTATGTATATTACATTATTTATTCTTCCAAGGCTATCAAATATTCGAATTTGAGCGATCCTGATGAAGGGAAATCCAGAAAAGCGCTTCGGACGCATAAAATTTATTTAGCTTTGCTTTCAATTTATATCCAAATACACATGTTGCCTTCGTTGTTGTCGTCCTCTTCATAAAAGAAAAGGCGTAAAGGATGCTGTTTTTTACAAGTCGATTCAGTATTTATTAACAATTACAGAGTGTTATGTTCGCCATAAAAAATCATATCAAAACACCATTTCAAATCACTAAAAAAAATAAAATACAATCGATTTCACTAAATCAAAGTAATATACTGAATATAGAATACTATGCAAAACGTGTGGTTTCATGACCATAATGTGAGTGCATCGATAAATACTGTTCAGCCAACTTACACAGATAAAATTGACTTAAGATGGATTTGGTTTTTCGTTTATGTCTCTATTGATCATTTAGATTCCCCAGTATTCAAGTATTTATTCAACACTGCTTTTGAAAATGGTAGGTTAATTATTTCTGATTTAGGTAAATCTACTTTGGACGATCGATTTTTTTTATCAAAGTGTTATTTCAATTTCTTAGCACTCGGTCAACACCTTTTCTATGGGGCAGTTAGCCTCAAGGGTATCATTAGCTCAGTAGTCAATGGTTAGGTACTGACATAATTCATAGCATACATTTTCTTAAAGTACCTGTTGTATAATTTAGAAATTATTAAGAAACTAAGGCCTTCTCGGGCAAGTTTATATTACATGGACTTTGCTTTTCTTCTTACGTCTCCTTGAGTCTAGTAGCTCTTCAAATATATAAGTATTTATACATATTTGAGTCTTATATATTTGTTTTGAGCGTTCCTGATAAAGGTATATCAAGTAAAAAAATTTAATTGCACGAAATCTACAAGAGAGGCGAAAGATACCAGAGGGACATTCAAACTCATAAGTCGAAAATACAAGGTGCTATCTTTTTACACGTAGCGTTGTCAGATGGACTATTTCCGTTGTTGAAGCTACAATAAAAGTAAGAACCATCAGTGTATCAGTATTGTTTTTAATATGAAGGACATACCTCTTACACAGTGAGGTACAACCAGAAAAGACAAATTTCCTATGTTTTAATGTGTATTATAGGAGAAACTATTTGAAGAGCAATATATTATTCACTACATATGTTAAATGAATAACAGGGACCCTTCAAGTGAACAGAAAACGTCTTCAACAGTAAAGTATTTGCGGTCCATTGTATTCTATATTTTTCCATAATTTGATTCGTCGTTTACTTTATATATTCTAAATAATTTATATCCGATTTGGTCATTACTGTAAGTAAAAACATATGACATACAATATTGGGCACAACTCTTGCACAGTAAAATCGATTACAACGTAGTCAAAGATACTATGCTAAGGAAATATAATAAACTGTTTATTAATACTGCTATTTTTCAAATTGCAATCTCTCTTTAAATTTCTTTCATAAAACAAAAACTAACGTCGTTGAATGTAAATAACAAAGCAGAACTTGACATTGATAAATGTAAAGCAGGCATTTCTAATCAGCTATACTTTGATTTCTTATTTCTATTTCTTTGTTTAACTTTTTAAAAATTAGTTTTGTCAATATTCTACTTTTATATTGTTTAGTAAAAGTTCTGTTAAACTGCATGGATAAATATTTAGCGGTATGAGGGTGGGGTTCTGTAATTATATAAACCAATCTATCAACCGGATACCTGTATGGAATTAACTGTTAGTACTCGAGGTTGTCAACAATGTATCAACAGAAAATATGAGAAAAATTGGCATTCTATAGATCATGTTAATATTGAAGCACTGACTATTAAGCTGATAGTTCTTTCGGAACAGAAGTCCACCAGCAGAATTTTAATTCTAGATAATTTGATCATGGACTTCATATGGAACTGACCGTTTATCTATTATACAGAAGTCTAAACGGATGTTCGTGTAATACATATGTCGAGTTTCCATTGTATGACGTAACTTAAATGTTTTGTAAAACATATTTTGGTCAAATTTCTGTAAAGCAACAATATCTGCAGTAATATATGAAGTTAAAACACGAATAAGGAGCACAAACAATCAACAGTTCGAACCTTACAATTAAAACAAATTAATTGTTGATCAAGAGATGCGATTTTTCCCTGGCGAAATTGTTCGAAATAGACTTCAATGAAAACATAGTAGAAATTATCATATTAGACAAGTGTTAATTTGATTCTGGAGTGCTTAACTGCATTTTGGTAGCATTAACAAAGCGTGGTATACAATTAAGAAAACAAACACTGCTCTCTGAAAATACTGTGTTCTAAAAAGTATAAAATTGATGTTCATTTTAACGATGTTTATGATTTTGAAATCCGAATTTTTTTTATATGCAATTCCTGTTTGACTGTTTCAAAGGATGGGGACATACGGGAGTGTAGTATCTTTGATGATGAATACTGTTTTTCTAAGGTAGCTGGGGTGTCTAAATGTTCGACGATAGATTTTTTTTAAACTTCTGTAAATGAATTTCTGGGTCAATGTACTTTCAAATTTCAATAAAAAAAATTGGGGTTACGGACTTAGTTTTTTTGTTTTGTTAAAATACATTGAATTAACGAAATCACAGTTTTTTTTATATGGGTTATATAGGAGAAACTTAATTTTTCTTTATTGAGGAAAAATCAAACGAGAGAATTGGCTAAAATTTAATGAGAGAATTGATTTTCATAACTATATCCGAAATATCAAATACGAATAAGGGGTCACGGGTTTATTTTCTTGAAAAATAAAAAAAAAAAAAAAAACACACAAATTGTCGTATCAAATTCAGTATGATTATAGGATTTTTTTTTTTAAATTTTAGATAAATTTACCGACACTTAATTTTTTTATACTTGGTAAAATATTTTTAGAC